CAAAAAAAAGCAAGAGTAGGAGGAAAGGAGAAGGGAGCCAAGACCTGAAAGGACAGGGGACACAGAAAAATGGGGAAAATAATTCACTTTATATCCCTTCAAAGGCTCTAAAGCAGTGCCCCCCACCTCGGGCCTCCAGATGTTCTTGGACTGCAACTCCCAGAAGCCTTCACCACCGCCTCTGCTGGCCCGGATTTCTGGGAGTTGAAGTTCAAGAACATCTGGATGCCCAAGGTTGGGGAACCACTGCTCCAAAGAATGTACACAACAATCCCCTTTCATTTTATTCCTACAAAGACCACGTGAAGTAGCTTCAGTCCAACCGTCGGCAACTGGCCGAGCTTCACTCCTGGAGCTTCGTGGCCATGTACGGATGTTGAACCCTTTTCTTGCCCAACATGACACCATGCTACTCCTTTTTATACTAGTGAGAGCCGCCCGACTCTGCTCCTCTGGACGGAGCTTTTCCCACTGAGCATCGAAGAAGGGTGTCCTCCAGAACAGCCTGGATCTTTGGCATGCACAGTCTGGACGATGGACACTTCCCATTTCTGGTCCTTCTAGAAATGCCCACACAGCATTTGCTGTAGGCACTTCCTACATTCATTTTCCAAACCACGTCTTCTCCAACAGGTACCCCTTAGATTGCTCACAGAATGCTGAACATCAGTAGATCCAGGAAATTTTTTCAACATCTTCCCAGAAAAACAGAACTAGCCCAGGAGTCTAGTTACCTGGAACAGATAAGCTTGTTGTCAGCAAATCAAGAAGGTAGATTCCTTCCCTTTGGCAGAGAGGTTAATGATATTGTTCATTTCATGGGAAAGGTCTTGATTTCACCTCCTTCTCCTTTTTTTTTCCTTCCTCTTTTTTGACCCCACTCGCTTCCGGATTTATTAATTTTTTTATTAAGCCTCTGGAAAACACCTAAAATTCAGATGTAAAAAATTAACCAAGAGCTGTATAGCTCTGGCACTGAGGTTGCCTGTCTGGTGACTCAACCCTGGAACTTTGTGCTACCTGTGTCTTGGCAGGGTGCAAGAAAATGTGTGTTTCCAGCATTCACCAGCTGCTAAAAGGCAGGCTGGAGCAAACCCTCATGGCCCAACATCTGGAGGCTTCCAGGCAGCGAAGTGGGAGGCCTGCTTCGCACCAGCCTCTACTTACTAGTAGAAAGAGGAACAAATTATACATTCATGGTCAGGTTTGCATAAATGGGTTGAGTAAAACAGTACAGTGGTGCCTCGCTTAACGAGGATAATCCGTTCCAGCAAAATCACTGTAGAGCAAAATCCTCGTTAAGCGAAATAAAAAAATCCCATTGAAACTCATTGAAAACCCATTCACTGAGTTCCAATGGGCTGAAAAACTCGCAGTCTAGCAAAGATCCTCCATGGGGCAGCCATTTTCGGTGCCTGCATAATGAGGAATCCATCCAAAAACACAGTGGGGAGCCATTTTACACAGCGGGCAACCATTTTGAAGCCGCCGATCAACTGTTTTAAAAACGTTGTAATGCGAAGAATTGGTTCCCAAAGCAGGGAACTGATCATTGCAAAGCAGATTTTGCCTATTAAAATATCGTTCTGCAATTGCAAAAGCGATCGCAAAAGTCATCGTATAGCGGTTTCGTCGTTTAATGAGGAAATCGTTAAGCAAGGCACCCCTGTATGTAGAGAGGGGCTAGAGCAGCTTACTCTCACCTTGCACCCTCCAGATGGGTTGGACCAAAATTCCCATAATCCCCCAGACAGCTGACTGCAATCAAGCACATCTGGATGTTATGGAAGTCTATATTAGTGAACCATACTGGCACTGGGGAAATCTAGATCCCCAGAGAATGTGGGGATTCTGTTCCTATTCTTGCTGCTGGCCTGCAACAGGGCTTCCGTCCATCCGTCCGTCCTTCCTTCCTCAGCTTTTCCTTCCTTCCTTCCACCGATCATCAGCTCCTTCCTTCCTTCCACTTCTCCCCTGTACATCTAGAGCCAAGCCACTACCATGGGCAGCTTACATCAGGAAAATACATAAAATAAAATAAAGAAAGGACCATAGGATCTTGACCCTTACAAACATGTAAGCCCAGATCACAAGATGGGAACGTTCATCGGTACCTTCAGTTTTTTAAAAAAAATCAAATCAAATAATAATTAAATTACAAGCAGGTTGTCAAAGGCCTGACTAAAAAGCCGTGTTTTAATTGGTCTTTAGAATGCCAGAAAAGGGGGGGGGTCCGACACTGCTGGGAGTGGATTCCATAATGAAGTGGCCACCACTGAGAAGACCCCGTTCCTGGTTGTCAATTTCCAGGCTTCCCTCGCAGTGGCCACCCACAACGTCAAGAATTTTAGTAGATCTGAGGGAGAGGGCACTGTGCCCCATAGTGAGGTCCCAGTCCACTCAGCATTAAAAGCAAAGCAAAAGCAAAGTGTGCTGCTTTTATACCACCCCATAGCATTTCAAGCACTCTCTGGGCAGTTGACAAGTTATTTATGCAGGCTACACATTGACACCCACCCCCCGCGAGCTGGGTACTCATTTTACCGACGTCAGAAGGATGGAAGGCTGAGTGAACCTTGAGCCGACAACCTGGGATTAAACCCAGGTCTTGAGCAGAGGTTTGCCTGCAGTACTGCCGTTTAAGCACTGCACGACGAGGCTCTAATTAACACCTTGAACTTGGCCCAGAAGGATACTGACAACCAGCTCAAATGGGCCAGGATTGGGGGGGAGGGGAACTATGAGCATATGCAGAGGACTGTGATATAAGCCTGGGAGCTGCACTGAGATGCCTCAGTCCCATGGCATGGCCTGAACCTCAATTTATTCCCGGGTGTGTGTGTGTGTCAAAAAGAGGCCTCCAGGACATTTTTGCAATCTTCCAGCCCCTCCACCCTCCAATTCTGGGAGGATTATGGGATCTGTATTCCCCAAACCGAATATTTGCAATCCATATCCCTGCTGTAAATCATATCCCACATTGGTATACACTCACCGCCAGCTTCTCCGGACGTACTGTCCCACTGGCAGTTAGGAACAGAGTTTAGAAAAGCAACTCTTTGGGACTTCCAAAATCTCCAGCTTAAGGCTGGTTGGGGGATTCTGGGAGCTGTAGTTCCCCCCCCAAGCTCTGAATAAGAGGCCACTTTTAATATATCGCCCTAAGTTGTTATAGCCTGCCTTCGCAATGAAAGAATGCCTTCACTTCCATGCATTGTGCTTACTTCCAAGCAAAAATGGGGATAAAAGTTGACAGAATTCACTGTCAGATCAGGTCAGACCAGTGACTCAACTTTTTATTTTTCCACCCACTCCTTCCTTTTTTCCGGGGGGGGGGGGCCTTATTT